GGCATGGCTGGGACGTGAAAAATCTGGCTAGGAGGATGGATCCAGAATGAGGGAGATAAGGCAATGCACTGGAAGGAGAATATCAAGGACATTAAAAAGAAATTAATGCAGTCAGATAAAAAATAACCAAATTCAAGGACAACTTCGTCAAGTTGCTGAATCACACATGATTGATCAGTTGCTATATTTGGTTTGTATCTGCTGAACAGAAAATAAAAGCTGAAGATTGATAAACTGTAGGTGTGAAGATTTTTAAAGTTTGAATCAATATCAAAACACTTATCTTAGTTCCTATGAGTCATAAGGAAAAAAAAAATCCTGAGCTTCTCATATCTCCAAAGCTTTAAAAAATAAGATAATTAAGAATGAATGCTTTCTGTGGTGAAGATATGAATAAATCTACTAGTCATACCTATCTATCCAGCAGTCAAACATGATCTCTATCAAACTTTATTTTTATTGAATCAGACCTGATGCAGTAACATTTCCAGTCATTTGCAATCTCCTGCCACACAAACTTTGGAATCATTCAGAGAAAAATTGTCAACAGAAATCAGTGCTGGCACAGGAAGACCACTAAAGTTCTCCAGCTGGTAACTTCTAAATGATGCTTCTCAACACAGTATCAAATCTCAGGTGTTAAAAATAATATAAACAGTTTCTGTTAGGAAATTGCTCAAAGGATTTTCTATAATCTTCATGTATTACTTTATACCCATATGAAGGAGGGTTGTGGACTGGTATTATCTTCTGTCCAAGGATAGCAAAGACCCTCAAAAAAGAAGCTATAGATATTAAGCTGCTTGATTCACTCACATCAGGCTGTGCAACGCAGGGGGTAGCCCTTCAAAGCACAGTTCAGTTCTCAAGGGCTGGAGCTAACAGTGGTGCTTGAAAATCATTTGTCCTGAATATGACTTTAGAGGACTGCCGGTTGCTCTGTATTTCTTGTGCCCCCCGTCAGTAAGGTGCTAGAATATAATATTTGCATTCTGAGTGCTACAGGAAGATGCTCACAGCTTACTCAGAGCCAACTTTCAAACTGATGATTTATTTTTATCAAGGAAGAGGAAATGTCCTTAGCTCAAGTTCTGAACATAGAATAACCTACGTAAGGTGAAACAGTGGTTTTGTCACAGGCAGTCCCCATGCACATAGAATGACAAGAGGCAGGGGGGGATTTGTAGTACTGGGAAATTGCAAAACTCAGTTTATCTGCTGCCTGGGGGGCTAAGTGGACATGAAACAGCTGCTGCTTGCAGCCTGATCCTTGAGGCAAAACAAAACCAGTGAGGGTGTAGCTGAGTGCTATGTTGGGCTGAAGTGACTCAGGAGCTACCTTCAGCCTTCTGTGCAGGCAAGGCAGACAGTGAAAACCTCATACATTCCTCCTGTGCAATACCTTCCTGTTAGAACAGCTAAATGCCTCATACACAGAGGTTAATACAAGCGATTCAAGCAGTATATCTGCTCAACAGTGAATCAAAAACGGCTTTGTCTTCTTCAAAGTGTTATCTCACTTTGACTTACACAAGCTAAGTGCAGTATTTTCCCTAGGGTTCAGGGCTGCCCTGCAGCTTTTGGGATTCAGACTAGGTAGGTCTAATGCTATCACGTGTGTTTATTTCAGGTTACAGTGAGCATGAAACGATATCCATTAAAAGGAAACTATTTATTTATTGCACAGTAGAACAGGGATTTGTGCACCTAGGGATTTCACAAGTAATTCAAAGCACAGAAAAGCACAACAGCTGTTTGGCGTTATCTTCTCATGTGTGCTTCCCTCCTTCACTGTCTGAGCCCTTTGTTTTCTGCAGTTTAGATAAATCTGTTTTCAAGGATGGACTCATAAAATCACAGAAGCATCTCAGCACAAGAGCTAATGCTAAACAGTTACTCTGCAGTAGAAATTCTATGCTTTTCCTCATATGTAAGGTCTTAACAGCTGCAGAGAATGCAAAGCCAAACAGTTTAGCAAACAAGACTACCATCTAAAATGAGCAGTGGAAGCCCAAAACTATAATTGATACAAAATTTAATTCTAAATCAACATTTGAGCTACAGCTCTCAAGATTCTGTATTTCCTTCAGGGTTTTGTTGTTATTTTTTAGTCTTATACCCATTTCTCCTTGGAGCACAACAGCTTTGGAGGACCTTTTTTGATGCAATTTCAGTTGTGATGTGCCTAAAAGAATTAAGACGGATCAATAAATGCTGAGAACTGATAGCAAATAAGAAAGATCTGTAACTTTTGTTATAAATCAAGAACTAGTAATCAACAACTGATGAAAAAGCATATACAACTACTCTTTGTAACAGACAAACATAGTAAAGGCATGTTTCTATGAATGCTTGTGCTTTTCCTTTATTTAAACTATCTATATAAACAGTAACCTAAGAACCAATTTCATTTGTTGTAAGCATTAAAGTCCCACACTTCCAGCATGTAATTTTGGTAAACAGGTTAACAAATGCAAACAAATGCTGCAACTAAACAGAATGCTTTGACCTCATTTGTATTTGAATAAAGTAAGACTGTTTTGTACTTTTTGGAACATAAAATATATATTAAAAAAAAAAAAAAAAAAAAAGTAAGATATTCTGCTCATTAGGCACAGCAAGGGTCAAAAGTTTTTCTTTCCCTGTTTGAGTTCCAGTTTAAAATACCATGCATATTACATGACTACAGAACTCTCATTACTGAGTTTTTTCCATATTCTGAGATTTCTAGATAACAATTCTAGTAAAGTAACTGAAGAGATGAGTGTTTGTTGTTCAAACACTTATAAGCAACACTCTATAGATTTCTCGAGAGTGCCAGTCTCTTTATCTCTTGTGTGTTTCTTCTTTTCTCTGATCTTTACATTTCTTCCAGCTGCAATAGCCAATCCTGCATACGTGCTTAATGGATCACCCATTTCATCTTTATCCATTTATTTCTTCTTGTACTCATCTTTCTCTGTGCTTGAAATTCTGCAAGCATTCATGTACTCCATGAAAGCAGTCCAGTCCTTCATTTCAAATCAGTACAGGAACTTAACGCAGAATCAAGGCCACATTTTGTTCCAGCCTTCCTTTCCTCTGTTCAGCTCATCTCAAAACCCAGCAACTTAGTAACAAATACACCTCAAAACATACCTAAATGCCCATTTGTAGTCCTCAAGGCTCAAACACATTTCCAACTAGGTCACATTCTGATTGTATTGACCTCAAACTGGCAAAATCCACATTCAGCAGATTTTAGGTCTGAGCCAGTGATAACTGTGAGAAGGCACAACTTCCTTGAGGCCCAGCAAACCTCTCATACATTAGAGCATTTGAAAGCACTGTTAAGACTGTAATTTTATTTTTAGCCTGCAGTGTGTCATGTATCCAGCGTGACAAAATATGAATAATTCTTTATCCACTTCAGTAATACGTGAAAGTCAAAGAGATTAATTATTAGATATGTTCATAATTATTTTTAGAAAAAGATATTTGTTATGTCTATAAAAAGATGTGCATGATATTAATTCACTAACTGCTTTTGATAATATCTTAATTCATGTACTATTAACAAATTCTGTTTGGTATTTACTTGCTTAATTACATTTAATCACTATTGCTATGCTATTAATTTTTCCTTTAAAGTTTTTGCATGGACTTAAGATAACATTGCATGATGACTGATGTATACCCTTTTTTAATCTTCTTACATATTCACCCTTTAGAAGTCTACTCATACCCTCCCATCAGTGCACACCTCAGCTGTAACTTCTAAAACTATGAGAGTTAGTCAGCATTGTGATGACTTACAGACACTACACACTGACCTAACTACTGTATTTTGTTTTTGTCACTACTTTAGTGTAGTATGTGAATGCGAAGAAAAACAAGTGGTAGCAAAAAGCATGCATCAATATTTCTGCTACCTCGTAAATAATTTTAAATTAGAAATCTTTAATCCTGAAAACCTTAATCTTAAAAACACAATATGCAGTTTCTCCTGTAACACTTTACAGTCTACAGTGGTTTCACTCTAAGAGAACGAGGGTTAATTTTGCCTTTTAGCCACCAGTAAATTACCACTAAAATTATGTGAGTAAAAGCAGTGGGACTGAGTGCTCTAGTTCACTCAATACTTATACATTCCAGAAAATTCTCATTTTTGTTTGATTTATTGTGGTGAACTTTCTATCTCTAAAACATAGACTGTGCATCTTAGTCACATTTCTTTTTAACTGCACTGCCAAATTCAGTGCAAATTCAATAAAATTCAATTCTGTATGGTATACTAAATGAATGTTGAAGAAAAATATATAATAATGTTGCAAAAGCTGTTTATTGACTGGATCTTTTAGGGCACTGTGCCCATTTTTGTATGCTTGATTTCACAGAGACTATATCAACACTCTAAGTACTAATATTCATAACTGCATATGTGTGAGTGTCCATTATTGCTTTCAAAGACCACAACTAGAATAGATGTTGTATATTTATATTTAATGCATGTTGGTCATTTTCATTGCATGTAGGGCTGAGTACATTTCCCATAATTCTTCTGTTTTTACATTGGAATGGAAGCCCTTCCACGCTTCTTGAGGCATCAGTCAACAGATCCTATATAAGCGTAATGGTTTAAGGACATTGGAAAATCTGAAGTGTGTGGGAAAAGCACCTCCAGCTTGAGAGGGAAGACAAATTAGTTCAGCAGAGGCCAAGAGAGGCCAAGTGTCTATTACCAGCTCTCGCTTGCCCCTGCAATGGCCAGTCTCTTGTGACTGGTCAGAGCTGGACTCTCCCTTACAATAAAATTTTCAATGCCAGGCTGGATGTGGCTCTGGGCAGCCTGGTCTACTGGTTGGTGACACAGCAGGGGGGTTGAAATTAGATGATCATTGTGGCCCTTTTCAATCCAGGCCGTTCTATGATTCTATGATTCTAAAATCTAGATTTCGTGTTCCCTTGAATGCTTGGCCTACCCATCTCCCGTGTATCAGCTCTCTGGCAATGCCATGTTATCAGTAAAAAGAAAGGGAGCAGGAAACAGCCCAGGAGCTCGGAGCTGAGGTGCTCTTCCTGATGGTGGCAGCAAGGAAAACTCCCAGCAGATCGCTTTGGGAAGGACAAAATGAAGCAATACGTGTGCAGAACACAGAAGGAGCCTGAAAATACTGATAAACTGTCTGAAAAACAGCATGAAAACGTTTAAACTCTAGCAAAGAGAAGGCTTAGCTTATTGTTGGATTCAAAGCACAGACACTTGTGAAAACACAACTGCTACAAAGCTTTCTGTGTGGAAAATACAGATTGTGGTTGGCGTTATGAACTCCCAGCTGTTCCACAGCTCAGCCTGTGAACCCACAGACCAACACGTCAGAGCTGAAGAGCCAAGAGAGTAAGTTTTTTTTTAGTAGATGTGTCCTGAGTGCTGACAGAGGCCAAGTATATCTGGTGCACACAGGGAAAGGTGAACTGGAAGCTACAAACTGCAAAGGGCTCCCCCAGCACTGGTGTCCATATTGCTAAAAGAACTTTTTAGAAATAATGGGATAATTGAGAGCGTGATAGTGGTTTTCGTTTATTTAGTTTTGGGGGGGAAAGAGATCAATGTCACCATTTGTATAGGCTGATAAAAGTATCACTTTTCCTTACTCTTCGCTTTGTACGTGTTTGCCTTTAGCGCTCACGGTTTGAGTTAAAAAAGACCTGAGTTCTGAAGACGTGACCACATTACACGCCACTCTCCCGACAATTGCAAAGGCGACAGAGAGGGGACGTCAACCCTCAGGCAAGGCGGGGTGTGGCGGCGGCTCCTCCCGTATTGCCCCTCCCACCCCATCCCGAGCCAATCGCGCAAGTGCGGTCACGCCCGGGTTCAGCACGAGCAGGACGGACGGACGTCTCTCTGCGCACGCGCAACGCTGGGCGGGGCAACGCCTCCCCGCATTCTCCCAGTGCAGTGACGTCACGGCGTCACCTGCCCAATCTCGATACGGATCCCGGAAGTGTCCGTCTGGACAATGCAACCGATGAAGAAAGGTTCCGGAGTAGGTTTAGTTCCGACAGGCTCCTCCTCGTGAGCCGCCGCGACCGCCGGCTGGACTGCCACAATGATCCCGATCCCTGTGGTGGTGTGCGTGCTGGGGGGCTGGTGCGCCATCTACCTGGCGGATACTCTGCTCAAGGTGAGGGCTGTGGGCGCAAAGCCCAACGGGAGCCCTTAGGCGGGTCAGCAGCGCCGCTACCCTCCCCCCGCCACCCCCTCTGGGCCGGCGGAATCCGGCACCGCCGCCAGCCAGCGGCCTCCCCGCCTCCTCTCCCTCCTCGGGGGCCGGCCACGGTCCGCGCCTCGCCCGCGAGGGGCCGCCGCTCCCCTGCGCGGGCCCTGCAGACCTGAGGCTACCCGCGCTGTCCCGCCAATTAGAATTAAGGGCTGCCTCAGGCCGCCGGGCCCACAGCGCTGCCCCGCTCTTCTCACTATGACGTGCGGTGGCACAAGAAATACGAGGAAAATATAAAATGAAAGGTTCCACCTAGAATTCTCTTGCTTTTTGAAATTGATGCTACAGTCCAGGAACTGCTCTGTTTCTACCAAGTACGGATAAGGCCTAGCAGTATCAAAGTAACAAGTGTTCGTTTTGTCACTGGTGTGAAACACGGGGAAAAGTGCTGTAAGGAAAGCTATGTTTTAGCTGATGAGGACCCTTGGAAAATTAAGTAGCTCCCCCTGCTGCTAATTGTCGTAGAGCAAATGCAGCAAAGGCTGGATCTTACAAATGCAGTCGACGGTGAGAGCCATTAATTATCAAATATTAATCTGTACGTTTTAATCTTCAGATTTTAATACATCGAGTCTATATTATGTCTATGTTAAATATATCAAGGCTATATTTGGTAACAAGCACAACATTGCTGGGAAACACATTAGAGAATTGGCTGAACACAAGAAGAACGTGCTCCTGGTTGAGTGAGACACTCTAAAAACCATCAGGAAGATCAGTCAGCAGGCTGATGTTCTTCTGGTGGCAGTTTTGTTTCTGATGAAAAATCTCAGGCTGTAAAGCAATCACTGAATTCACATAGCAGACTCTTGCGGCATGGTGCTGGGACCCATTTGTATCTCTGAGATTTGGAAGATTTTATTTCAGAATTAGAGTTTAAAATAATTCCTTTTTGTGAGTGAGAAGGGCCGGTGATTTTCTCCGAACCTAAAAGCAGCAAAGGAGAAAAAAAATCTACATTGTTTGGGGGCAACTTAGTATCTACTTTATATTGAGAAAGAAAAGGGAATGCCTAGAATGCTCTTGCAAGCAGGAGAGTCCAGGAGTTAAATTGTAACTTTGATGCTTTAACTACAAGTTATCTATGGTTATTAACCTTCTGGAAGTATGTGGGAGCTGCTGGGTTTCAGTAGATCTTGCTGGTAGATCTGTTAAGTTTCAAGTACCACAGCCAAAATAAATTATGGATTAAATAACCAGATTTACGTAATTAGGAAACTCATGTTTGTTTTATTGCTAGTACTCTAGATCTCCCAACACACTCTTAACTCTGAACTGCTGGCAACTGTAGCAAATTGCCTAGCTCTTCAGTCTTTTTCAGTGTAAGTGCATGAAAATGACATACAGAATATGAGTGAAAAGTACTTCTGGAGTACTTTTCTGTTCATTATACTGATCATGTTTTGGGCAAGAGGATATGTGCTGTAAGTTGATGTTTATTTTGTAAACATTTTAGATGTGCAATGTCTCTTGCTTAATTTGACCTCTTATTATTTTTGTTCAGATTTCAAGCGTTTCTGTTAGGCAGTCTCACTCTTTGGGATTCTGTAATATGAAAGGCAGAACTATGTGTATAAGTGACATTTTGCACAAATAAATTCACCTAATATTGCTTGAATTACAAGGTACATTTGTGTTAGCAAATCAACAATGATTCAATCTGGGTTTTGGAAAATTTCTCTTGCTGCTCTTCATTTGAACCACTGATGAGAAAGCTTCCTGGTGAAGTCTGGATCTTACAAAAGGGAGTCACTTAGGCAGACCCCTGAATTGCTGCTCCCCAGCATGCTAAGTCATCCCATTTGCCTGAAGGACCAGGGATGTGAAAAGGGTAGAAGGTTGTCCCTGCTTCTGGTATCAGAAATAAAAGATGCTTTAGGCCCATTCAGTCGAGGTGAGCCTTCAGCTTTTAAGGTCAGGAAGCTGAAATGGTCTAGGGCTCTTGAACAGCCTTTGTCAGCACAAAAGAATGTTAAGGGCTCCTGCTTGCTGGCAGATATTTATGGAGCTCCTGGAGTATTTAGTAGGCGGTCATTAATTTGAAAGATTGCATAAATAAAAAGGGTATTGCTTTTATAGTAAAATTAATGTAGCAGAGATCACTTAGAGTTCAAGTTAAAGAAGCTGAACCCAGGTCTGTGGAGGAGGATTGAGATGAAACAAAGGGTAATAACATACCTCATACCAGGGCAAGATGGTGCGTGTCGTAATGTTATGATCCTACTGGACTCAGAACAGAAGGAGCAAAAGTTTGCGTAGAGCTTTTTAATACGCTTTGAAAAGAATGTAGTAACTTGTTTCAAGGGATGCTGTCATTTAGTGATTATGAATACCATTTACAAAGCAAAGTTGTTTTTTGTGCCACTTTGCAAAGGTATTGTTCAAGAATCCCGCAGTTCTCATTAAGAGCTGCTTATTTGTTTATACCTTGCTAGTAGAGAAGGGCTGCGGTTTAGTTAGAATGAATTTGAAGGGATGCATTAGTGGAATTTCTAGGGGAAATGTGGTTGATGTTTTTGTATGTAGTAAGAGGACAAATATTTTTGAAGTGCCAGATCTCTATTTCTGATTATAATGCTTGTTTATTTGTTTCTTTTTTGGTTGGTTGGTTTTTGTTTGCTTAGGTTTCAGAGTGTTTGGGATTGGTTTTTTTTTTATCCTATGTGAACGGAATGGGTTACATATGTTTACTGAATTTGCAGAAGACGATTTCTCATGTCAGATGTACTTAATGTCATGCAGATTTTTGTTCTTAATTGTCAGATAGATTATGTGAGAAGGCATTTTTCTTTGTTTCTCTGTCCTAAGTGTTACTTATAAAAGTGTAATACTCTTTGTCATCTCTCCTATTAAAAGTAGGCTAGCAAATGCTGAATGTGTCTCTGGTTGTGGATAGTAAACCTAACAGTGTTGTAGGGAATGACTGACCAGTCATTGACTAGGAGAGACATTACAACAAAAATTTCTGTGGTTGTCCTCAGCTGACTGAACAAAAATATGACTAAACATTGTAGAAGTTACACAGAAACATATGAGTAGAAAAGATAACATGGAAGGCTGTTTCTTGAACTATTTTTTTAATTTAATAAATTTTAGTTTATGTTGTTATTAATTCAACAAAATGAGAAAAGCTATGGATATGGTTGTTGAAGATATGACACGCTGCTTGTTTCCCATCACCACCACAGAAGGAGAGAAGTAATGCAAGGAACTTGGCAAGTTCTAAATTTGTTTCAAGAACTGTGGAAGACAGCCAGGAACCTGTGAAGATCTGTCTAGGGGCGTAGGGAGTCTCTTGTGAACTGCACATTCCTGACATCTCCAGTAGGTGCTGCTCCTCATAGGGAAATTCAGGAGCAATGTTATAGTTCAGACAGCTCTGAAGACTTGTCTGGGTTATGTCAGACACACTCCTGCTCTGATACACTTTTCATCAGCTACAAATTTCTCTTTTAACCTCTAAGGAAAGCTGTCCTTCTTTGGCTTTCTGATACTAGCTTCCAGGAAGCAGGCTGAGGAAGGACTATTGAGAAAACCAGCACCATATATTATAAAATAGCAGTTGCAAAACTACTTCCATTCATTTATAATACTGGGTACTAATGCAATAAAGTATTAATTATACAATCTGTAGGTTGCATTCATTACAAAGACAAATATAAGGAGAAATCTTTGGAACTATTAGGAAGGTGTACCAACAGTATCTTGAAAAACTGTAAAATTATCAGTGAAATTGCTGTTGCAGACTACAGGTTGGTAATTTTAAAGTCCTTCTGCCTTTTTGGTAGTATGACCATGTATTTCAAGTCTCTTCAGTAGTAGTCTGTGATTGAAAAGTAGACCTCATTTTTACTCTTGCTAAAGGATACTCCCACTACTGATCCGCATCTGACCAATATTAGAAACAAGTTGATGCCAACAGAAAGCCAATAGAATGTGTTTTTCTTTATTGGAGTTTTAAAAACATTTACTAAAATATAATTATATAGAAAAGAAATACCATAAAAGTTCATTTTTTAGCCTTCTATCAGTTAAAAATCACTCAAAGTGTTGTAACAGTAATAAAGATAATAACGTTCTTATTTGCTAAATACTACTGAATATCCAGTTTCTCTCATAATCCTAGAACTGCTGTGATTTACTCAAAGCAGTGGCATAGCTTTTTGTACTATATGTCACACCTATGAGTCAAAGAGGGTAGTGACATAGTGGAACAGGTTGCCCAAGGAGGTTGTGGATGCCCCATCCCTGGAGGCATACAAGGCCAGGCTGGATGTGGCTCTGGGCAGCCTGGTCTGGTGGTTGGTGACCCTGCACATAGCAGGGGGGTTGAAACTAGATGATCATTGTGGTCCTTTTCAATCCAGGCCATTCTGTGATTCTATGATTCTATGGCATGTACCTGGAGTTATGTTTGTCTTTACATATGAATGGATCTCATTTACTGCTTGGTCACATAGCACAGAATCTTCCTTCCAGTTTTGGGTTAACCTAACTTTCCATTGTTTTGCAGTCATCCAGCTCTTTGAAGGCATCTTATGAAGACTGGTTGGTGAATTATGGCTTGAGTGTCTCTCCTTTTCACATGCGATGGCAAACAGCACTCTTCAATCGGCAGTTCTACAACTGGGGGAGATGGAAACCCAGATTTCTGTATTTATGGTATACATTCAGGATATTTTTTTCTGTCAAATGAGTACAGAGGCAGCAACTACCACCATATGTATGCCTTTTATCTATAGCAGTGGAATGGGTAGATCTGGTTATTACTGTAGTCTAACAAAAAAATTGAACAAACATGGTAGCCATAAATGTACTGTGTCAGCATAAGTCTATCTCCTCTGCTAAAGATAACATAGCTAAGTTATACACAGATATACTGTAAAACTAGAAATCCATAAACTGTATTTCTACCTAGGGTTTGAGCCATTCATAGTTCTTAAATATAGAGCTGTTACATATGTTACTGTCTGAGGAGGTAGATATGAAAGCAGTTTCTCATATCCCAGATCTGTCCATTACTGTACATTGAGTTTTCCTCTGATCATGCCCCTGTTGCCAATCATTCCCCAGGCATTCAGCAACTATACCTAATCAGAAGGACATTGCTCTCATTCTGTCTTTTACTTACCTACACTTTTCCCTGCTAAGATTGAACAGATTGCTAGTAATGGGTAAATTAGCAGAGTGGTTAGCAAGGTTAGCAAGGATGCTTCTGGACTAGTTTAGGAAATTATTGCTGAACTGCTTATCTACTGTAATTCTATATCCAATCTGAAAAAAAAAAAAAAAGGAGTAGGGCTTGAATTTATTTTCATTTTCTGTATTATATACCCAAAGAGGCAGTTGTGAAAGAGAATTCTGCTTCATATTGATTTCTCTCGCATGGAGTGATTTTACTTTGATTTTAAATAGTTCTACATCAATCACAATTTTTAATGTGTGTAATTTATTACAGCATAATGTTTATACCACTCTATTTAATTAACATTATAGGTACATATTGATTAAAATAAATTTGTTCATTTCCAGTGAGCCTTATTAAGGGTGGTAAAAGAACAATTATGCTGTTATGAAAAGAAAAACAGCTAGTGAATTTAAATGCTTTAGCTAGAAAATAAACTTTATCACATCATTCAAGTATATAATAGAGTAAAAGAATAATAATGATGAATAAAAATCAGCCATTAGATGGACTGATCTAAATTGAAATGTTTTTCAACATAATGGTTTTAATAAATTAAATGATGAGAGAAAAAATGTCTTTAAAGTAATTGATTTTAACCTAGTGTTACAATTGTATCTCCTAATTTTTCTTCTTTGAGGAATTTTGAGTCTCATGTAAATGTTTTTTATTTTTTTATTGCTGGTGAAGAAGATGCAAGTATGTATGTATACTACCTCATCACTTGATCCACAGCACTAAATGTGTGATGGTGTGGTGCAGCATGTTAAATTATATATTGTAAAGTTATGTTTTTGTTCACAGTTAATGACAAGTCACTCATATTGGGTAATTGAATAAAGATTAGAATATATAAGAACAGCATAAAAATATTTGAAAATGAATCAAGATGTGATTTGGATGTCAAACAGTTATTAAACAAGGAAAATATTATACAAGTTTATGTTACTGATATATGCTATTAGCACTGTTAGTTTCCTTTAGCTAATGTTTTTGTACTGTATTGTTGATGTGTGAATAGTAGTAGCACTGGGTAAGTTTTGCTTTGTTTTGTCTGCTAAGTTGTACTAATGTGGTTAGGTATATTCTAGTACCTATGCATTTCTTAGCTATTTGCCTGTCTTTGTAGGTTCAGCATGGGAATGGTGTTTGGTATAACTGCTATGTTTGGCTCTGTGATTCTTCTTGGAAAGACACTAATGCAAACACTGACACAGATGCTGACTGAGGCACCAACAGCCCAGAATGATCGTATGCTGCAAGTTGTGGTAAGTGTTTTCTCCTCAGGTCTTATTTGAGGGTTGTGAGCTGATAGTAACCATCTTCTTGATGATATATGCAATACTCAAATTCTCATATGTAAGAATAACCTAGCTGCTGATACTCATTTAAATAAAAATTTGCTATCAGCTTTAAAAATGAGGTGGAGGTGATAAAAAAAAATGGGAGGACAAATAAAGGCAAGTATGTGGGAGATCTTATATTAAATACTCTCAGAAATGAGAACTGGCTAGTGATTTTGAAAAGCTTTAAATTATTATACTACTAAGAATGCAAAACAGCAATCGTAGTACAAAGAATACAAAACAGCAGTAAGAATTTACCTTCTCTGAGCAATAGAGGCAATTGTGGCCTTGAAGTTTGCAAAATTAATCCATAATCCACAAGAAGAGAGGTATTTTCTTTCATTTATTACTATACAAAGTACTAGTGGAAAGGGAAAGAAATAATTTTAAAGAGCTTTGTGTTATTGTAGAAGCAAAGATTCATTAGTGAGGAGATGGCATATTTTTGGATTGTTCAAGGACCTCTGTCTAATTTACAGTATGAAATTGAAGGTCCTGTTTCTGGCAATATCTAGTCAAAGGCTCGGTAGCAATTTCTTTTATTGTTTCATGGATTTCTGATGATGGACAATATACAATGTTATTTTAGAAAGGAATGCATTTTATTGAATTGGAGAGATTGCAAGTATTGTCTTTTTTATGTCTTGCATCAAAATACGTAAGGTAGTAATGGAAGAAGTGACATTGAACTTAGAACAGTTTTAACCTTAGTTTTAACCTTACCTCTCCAAGAATTCTCTTTGACTAGAATGTGTAGGTAGAGGTTGCTTTGCCTTCCATTATATGGCAGTGATACCCAAACATTTTGCTCCATTTTAATATTCAGTCAAGTGAACAGAAGTTGGGGATTGTGTACTCCCAGGATAGACATTCACAGAAGTATACAGTCAGTTCAGCACTTAGCACATTAGCATATGCTACAAATTCAGTACATTTTGTTATGGTTTGGATTTGTTTCACACATACAGGGTGAATATAGCAAATACAGTATGTGCTGGAAAAGGAGACAACCTGGGAAAGAAGTACTGGTACTGACAGTGTGGTCATTTGGTCCATAGCCTGCACCTGAATTATCTCTAGAGGCAGGAAGGAGCAAGTGGGAAATCTTGGTGGTGTGCTGTGTGTCCAAGAGAGCACAAATTGAACACAAGACTAAAGATTTCTCATTTACTTGCAAATAGGGTCCATCCTAAGAATGTATGTTTTTTTCCAGAATAAGAAAAACGTCCTTTACATTTTCTTTTCCCTCCCCTCCCCTCCCCTCCCCTCCCCTCCCCTCCCCTTTCTTTTCTTTTCAAGATCATTTCCTGATCTAGTGGGTGGCTACTGAGCCCATGGAAGAGTGGTTGGAACTAGATGATCTTTAAGATCCCTTTCAACCCAAGCCATTCTGTGATTCAATGGATCTATCCACTTTTTTGATACCAGAGTAAACTGGTCATCTGCCATACTCAGCTTTTCTGTGTAAGTGACAGAAATAAATAAAAGGAAAGTAAAGCAAAGATGAGCCCTTGGAAGTAATCTGTACTGTAATTATGAAAGCTGAAGTATAGCATAATATTTACAATTTCAGCGTGGAATGGATTCCTCAGTAACTGCATATTGGCAATATCACTGCACTCAAACCAAGGACAGATGAGTACTGAAAAAGATGGATATGATAGGGATAGTGTAATATCATGTATGGGGATAAGATTACTTCTCCTAAGCTGACTTGTGGTTGATTTTCTTTCCTACCTTATTCTTTCATTTCTGAAATTAATTATACTCAGTTTTATAATTCTGCTTTTAAAGAGTTCCAGTATTCTATTTGAGGGGAATGTGGTAGCATAAGTTGATTCTAAAAAGTGACCCAAACGAGGTTGCAAATAATGAAGAAAAAGTGAGGAAAGACTTCTCCTCATTTAAATTAGTTATCTATATGTTTCATAATTAATCAATTGCCTTGGAAGAGACAGAGTTAGGTGCTTTCTTTAAAAAAAAAAATAAATTTGTTAACTATATTTCAGCGTTTGGCATGGGTCTGCTTAGCCTTTAGACTTCAGTTTTGGGAGAGGCAAATACAGTTCTGCTTGTGTTCCACTGATAAGATTTTTTGCACCTTTCCTCATTTTTATTTTTTTTTTCCAGTCCTGCACTTTATTTAAACTATCCACCAGTAGGTAACTCAGTAGCTGCCCCCTATTGTGTTGGCTGCCTGTTAACAAAAGCAGGGAAGAAGATCAGTTATTAGGAAAGGTTCTTCTTTCAATAAAGGCATTCCTGGAAGACTATGAAATATAAGATGGCAATGCCTATTCACAAAATACTGCATGAATCCTTCATGATATTTAGCTTCCCTTTTAGGTGTATCTTAAACTTGCTTTGACATGTGCACTGAAAAGTATTCAATGCTGTTTTCTCATGTGATGCACTCAGGGTGGCGCTAAGATGGTGGCCTTTGCTGTTGCTATCTGTCCTTCGTGTATGTGGAGCAGAGAGCCACTGAGAACACCACTTAAGTGATCCATTAGTGCCACCAGCCGATGCTTCAATAGCAGCAATGGATGCTTAACAAGTGAATAGCAGCTATTTTCATACAGTGAGTTAGGACTGTTGTGCCAGTTAAGATAAATTCCTTGGTCATGATCACAGTCTGAACAGAATTTGTGAAATGATTCGTAAAATACTAGTGAATATGGTCCTCTGAAGAATTTTTTTTTTTTAGCAAGTTGGTCTCATCAAGCTGTTGCAGAGTTTTGCGTGGGTAGTTAAATGCATATAATTGAGAAATGAGCTGGACTGAATGATTGACTGGGGTCTGTTCAATTGAATCTGCTGCCAGAACAGCAGCCAGGAGCTGCAGCATTTTTGTGTAAAAAGGGGCCATTTGAAGAGTCTTAGAGGCAGGTGAGGAATTTTTGCCTATAGCATCTCTTTTCTCCCACTGAACCACAATTAACGCCAAGTATACTGCAGCTGATAGTACCCCAGTGTTTCTTACTTAGAAATGGGAGAGCAGCAGGATAGTCAGGATGACTGGACTGCCCCCAAAGTCAGCAGCTCAAGTGGTGTGGTCTTGCTACTTCAGCTACAGCAACTGAGAAGATCTGAGAGCTGAGCAGCTCTCTGTCCCATGGAGAGAGAAGATGGTTCCTCCTTCTGTGACCTGTGCCTTATTAGGAGCCTGACAGAAAGGAGCTTGTGTTGAGGAGCTGGGGTGTGGTGGGAATCCACAGCAATAGAAGGAATGGGGGGCATGCATGTTATACCTTTATCGAAATAATATATCCACTGCAAGTGCTGTTTTAAATGTGAATTTGCCATATATAGACTGCTAAAACTTGAACAATAGAGAGAACTTACCCTTTTTTGATCTTCTAAATTTGGAGTGATCTCATATTTTATATATAGAGAGAAGGAAGACTGACAATTCTGGTTGAAGGCTGTTCCTTTTTTTTTCTTTTTTTTTTTTTTTTTTAACTTTTAGTGCTTATGTTTTAAGTGCAATACACTTTTTCTTTTCTTTTTTCTTTTTTCTATTTTTTTTTTTTTGAGTGGATCTCAGTAGCCACATGACTATGCAGCACAATGTAAACCACTTTTCACAGCGCCAAACCGCTCTCATTAAAGCTGAAGGCTGCGTATGTGTTTATAAAGTTTTGGAGCTTAATATAAAGTAGGACACACTCTGTCATGTTGTGAGGACAGAATACGAAGGATGAAGGCTTTTTCTCCTAGAAAGCTTTTCAACATTTAGCAAAATAATACATATTCCATGTATTTTAAAATATATTGAGAGGAGTTACAAACCAGCAGTGCTGTGTGAGTGGCTCTTACTGTGTCGGTGGGCTGAGAAAGCTGAGTGAGAGCAGCAAGGATAGACAGAATAATTTGTCTTTGTACCTCTTGGTTTCCTAGTGTGTTTTGTTTTGTTGTCATGCCCACATGAACAGGTGCCTGGTGTAAATTTGCCTGTCAGCCAGCTGACCTATTTCTTCTCTGCAATCCTCATCAGTGGTGTGATACATGAAGTCGGCCATGGGGTGGCAGCTATTCGGTAATACAAACTACTTTTCTCTTACTATGTGCCAACAAAGCCTAATATTCCAGAGTATTTAATAACAAGGGAAATGTTGTTAGCATTTTTTCAGCTTTTCTTGACAATCTGTTTATTCTTTATTTCATAACTTCCTTAGATTTTAAGTTTCTAAAGATGTACAATAAATAACAAACTTTTCATATGTATTCTACTGATTGTGGGAAAGGAATTCTGCTTTGTAAATATACCACACCACTCAGGTTTAAAATCATTCTGCTTTTGAGTGATCCTGTTTTTCACGCAGTAATTGTATTTCTGGAGCTGTGGCATTTGAAGAGGACTTGCACGCTATTGCACAATGGTACTTTAAAATACTTTTTTTGATTTGTTAAACACAGCTTGTGAAGTAGCATCTAAAAGGGCTAAAGCAGCAATTCAGTCAAATGTGATTTGCCCCGTTAATCTCAATGATGTGTGAATTTCTGATCACAGATGAGATTTTTATTATTACTTAACTGTGACAATTACTTCACAAAAAAAGTTATTTGACCTGGTTAATCATTACACTTAAATGGCACTTCAGCATAGGAGGGTTAAGTGGTGCTTCCTGGAACTTGATTTTCAGGTGTCCTCCACGTTTCTCCTAAGCATCAGAGGCATTAGCTGTCCCATGGGCATGAAACCCTAAATTGTTTCACTGATTTTCTTGAGCGTAGGAAGACATGACACATCTAAACTTGTTACTACCTGTTTTCTGGTCCTGAATGTTCTCAGTCAAAGGAAAGATGTGGGTCCCTATGTATCATATAATCCATTTGTCTGCAAGCTTGGTTTCTCTTATGTTTAATATTTTTATCAGTGGAAGAAACAGCTCTTACACTTGTGCATCCCACAACAGGAAGAGCTAAGAAAATTTCCTTCAAGTACTGTTGGTGAACTGCAGAGAATTCAGGAGTAACTGTAGAGCTTTTTCTGAAGTTTGTAACCTGGTATGGTGTAAGAGTAGTATGATACTTTCACACAAGATCTGGAGTGATGGCTTTGAATATTCAGCTTCAGTTTATCTTTTTGTAATAAATTTGATTCTCATCTATTTTTAGGAGAAAAAAAATGGTATCGTCCAATGTAAAGTTACTATCAGTTAAAATCTGGAAGACTTAAGTTGTTTTTTGCTGCTGCTGCTGCTGTTTTTTCTGTTTTAGTTTTGTTTTGTTTGATTTGTTATTTTTCCTCCTAGTACAGGTTGAGTATATAGTGCTGTTGCAGTCTATCCTTGGGTTTTACTAAATAGCTGCACTATGGAAAAATTCTGTTTATTATTATCATCATGTATGATAGTAATATTTTCAGGCAAATCACTTTGACTGTCTGAAATCTATTACACACTTCTGCCAACTTCAGTTCAAGATAGTATTGGCTGTGAACTACAAAAGCTTAGAGTATTTGAGTCTTAGCTTAGTCAAAGCTTATGCCAAAAAGTCTGTCCATCTCTGTCCATCTTCTACCCAAGTAATGAAGTATGGAATATCTATGAGAGTGCAGATTTCTTATTTGTAGATCTTATGAGCTGAATGCAAGGAATTCATATGTTCACTCTGGGTCATTTTGCATAAATTCTATTCATAATTTTATGTCTTCTTTTATTTTATATGCACCTCATTCTTGCAGCTGCTATTGTATAAAAAGGATCTAAATATAATGCTACATCCACAAAAATAAACAAACAAAAAAATGAGCTGATTTGTGCCTGGTTTGCAACAGCTGTCTTTGAATGTGATTGCCACACCTCTACAAGTCTCTTATAAAATATGTAGCTTCAAAGAGCACCAAAAAAGTGACTTTAAGGGTGTACCTGTTAAAGGGAAGACATAGATTTTCCAGATAATTTTTCATAGATTACTTTGAAATTAAGTCATAAAGGCTATCCTTCTTTACTTAAAAGACAACCCTAATATTAACTTATGTTAGAGTATCTATTACTTAAAAAAAAAAAAATAATAATAATAATAATAATAATAATAATGCATTACTGTTGTGTAGGAAGCAGAAAAGTTGAATTTGGTGTTTATTTTTTACCAGACTCATAAATGCTTGTTGCATAAAAGTGGCAGATAGTGCAGAAAGTATCCTCTAGTTTAATTATCTTTCCGTCCTTCATGTTATGAAAAATAAGTTAGCTTTATAATTATAATTTTTGTTCTTCTCATAGACAAAAATACATATGCCATGAAGAATCTCACAGTTCTTTGTTTCCTGGTGTACAATAACAATTCATTTTTCTTTCTTTTTTTTTTTTCTTTTTAAGAGAACAAGTACGATTTAATGGATTTGGGATTTTTATCTTCATTGTCTATCCTGGCGCGTTTGTTGACCTCTTCACAACCCACTTGCAACTAATATCACCAGTCCAGCAGTTAAGAATATTTTGTGCAGGTAATATTTTCTGCTCTTTTATTAATTCTTTGCTTATCACAGTTACTTTACAGGCATCACATGTAAATCTTAGGCAGAAGACCAAACATTTAAAATGGAAAAGCATAAAAGCTTCTCTTTACCTAAAGATGGTCATTCTGTTCTGAACCCAAACTGTGATGTCATAATTTTGTTTTTAATCACTAGTGTCCTTATTATGTTATTTTCTGAGGAAGATAGTTCTGTCTCTAGGAGTTTAATAAGTACTGTTCTCCTGCCTTGAAAAATATTAAGTCTTATATCTGATTCAGAATGCTCATAGATGTGGCTGGGGATGTAGTTTCTGATCATCCTCTCCCGCTAGTATAAGATCTTATGCTCAGGTACAGAAGCTCCTTTAACTCTTTTTGCATATTGAGTGGCCTAAATATTTAAATGGTGGAGCATACAAACTGGAAAATGCTCAAACCAAAGATTGGTGATATGAGAATGTCATTTGCTGTCACAAGTGAACACTCTTGTGTGACCACAACTGCAATAGGAATAATGTGATTTTCAACAATATCTTGAGTGATTTTCAATAAAGTGTGAGTTACATTATTAAATAGTTGACTGGGTTTTGATGTTGCTATCAGAAGGAAATAAAGGCCAAACCACAAACATCTCCAAAAAGAATAGCAGCTAATGGCTCCAAATAAGCTTCCAAGTGAATTTTATTTGATGTCTTTTGTTCTAAAGAGAAATCCCTGGATACAGGGAATTAGAGCACCATTGTTGTGAGAAGTTATAGTGAGATGGTGTTATGCTTCAATTGCTTATATTACTGACTTCTAGAGACAAAGAAGGTTCCCAACATATGGAAGGAAAGATAGAAAAATTAATGTTATGCTTCAGTTCATAATAAATATAATTTTCTGTTGCAGGGAGCAATAGAAAGCAGCCAGCCTGTTGTACTATGAGCATACACTGTTTTTTGAATACTGTAACTGTAGGCTTTTAGAATGGCACAGGAACACTTAGCAAAGCATACTTGCAAGTTTTCATAGATCAGGTAAATGATGATAAATGTTAAGAAAGTGAAGATATCTATATTCCAAATGCCCTAATGTACCAAAATAATTTGTTGCAGTAGGCTAACTTATGAAGCTCTTTTTCTCAAATTAATCAATTTTCATTTTCAGCTGGTGTGACCAGAACTGAAAGAGAAGAAATAATTCTCAAAATGAGTTGTTTGCATTTATTTCTGGAAAATCATCTAGAAAAATTAGTTTATAAGCTGCAGTAGAAAAGAATTGCTTGTATAGTTTGACGAGCGAACGCTTGTAATCATTTTGAGAAAATCTGAAATAGGGTTATACAAGGTAGGAACAAAAGCGCCTTGCAAGGCTGCTTAGCATCAGTGGCTTTTTACCACTTTGTTATAACAAATATATGCAGGCTTTTTTACAAGTAGTGGTATGTATATTTCAGCACTAGGATGTTTTATGATATTCAGTAAATTTGACTCTCTTTTTCTTAATTTTAAGAGCAGTTGAATGAACCTATTATCAAGTCTTCAGTATACTGAAGATCTGCACTTACAGATACAATATTTTGGATTTTATATGGCTGCAAAATGTGAGAACTAGTAGAGAACTATACTGAATATACCTTTAGTAGTTCACTTCTACTCTGGAGTTCAAAGAATATATTTTTGTACAGCAGATGGCATCATGAGTTCAACAATAACAAATGGGCATTCTTGTGAGACTTATATTTTTAGCTTTCACTCCATGCTCAGTAATTAAAAAGTACTGCTGTACAGCACTTGCTTGTAGTTAGTAGAAATCAATGCTTTTGTTTTTGTTTTAATTTTGTCTTGTCTTTAACAGAAAAAGAGAGTTAAAGATTTTTAAAGTATTATTGAAGGTATGTTAAAGGTTGTGTGAAGTGTGCCTTTTAAAATATTAAGAATTAAGTGTCCAAGGATGAAGCTGTTCTAGCAAAATGAAATTTGTGGTGTAGTCATCAGTGTGCCTCTACAGGTATTCTCATTTTTAGGCTGTTTGTTTTTCTAAGGATCACTTGGTGTGAACTTGAAGCCTTTCTATTTTAGGCTTTTCTGCTGTATTCCACACAGCAAACTGTGTAGATTATTCTGTTAAGGACTATGTTTTGTTGGCTGTTGGAAAGTATTTCTTGTCACACTCCAGCAGTTCCATCAACTCTTTTTTTCCTCCCAATTTATGCTCCAATGACCACACTGTTACAAAGCAATTTTGTGTCTTTCTTAGATGTTTAGGGTTTGTTAAGCTGTATAAAAAATAAAGATTTTGTTTTGTTTAAAGATAAAAGATCAATTAAAATATTTTCTTAATACATCTTTTGTGGTATTTGTTTGCGCATATATGCCTATGTGTGTTTGATAAAAATAACTGAATGCTGAAGCACTTTATCTGATTATCCATTATTCATTCAGAAGTAGAAATTACTTTGGGAAATAACTACTCCTGAAAATGGAACAAACTCAGCTGAAGTATTCAAGTACTTTCAGTGTTTCCCATTTGTGCAGCATCAGAAACACTGTACTGTAAATATAGGATTGAATCAAACCCTCTTACCAAGTTGAAGAAGAAAGATGTAAGGAGTTTTCAGCGTTAAAAAGTTTTCCTGCATTGATCATGCAAAATGTATTTCCAACAGCATAAATGAAATGAACAAATTTTCATAGTGCTTGATGTTGAAGGAAGGCAAATGTGACTTATAGAGGTTTGTTTCATCCTATCGAGCACAACATTCTGTAAAGAGTGCTGTTACAATATATTGTTAAAATACTGTTTGAAAATGCTGATTGGAATACTTAATTTCATGGAGTGGTTTTGGGCCCAGATTGTCATGTAAAAGAAGCCTTTTTTCAAATAAATTTCTAACCTTGTTTGGTACACACAGATGTACCAAACTATTTTTCTTGTTACAGTGGAAATAACCATGAAAAATACTGAACTGCAACTAAATGTTGTACTTTTTTCTGACTAGGATAACCAGTGTTTATTCATATATAAACCCATTTATTAAGAATCTTCAAGGGTTTATTGTGGTAAAAGGTGACAAGTAATAGATTTCTTTCCACTATTTTTTTAAATATTTATGGTATACGGGTATCTCAATAGATAGAAACTGTAGTTTAAAAATTGATTCAAAAGAAATTTTTCTTCTGAATATTCTGCCATGAATTCATTTTTCATCCATTCTTACATTAATAATTTCAGGAAAGTTAATTAAAAATTAACATTAAAATCTTGCACCTTTTTGTTGTTAGTGTTTACTTAGAAACTTTTTTTTCCCTTCTTTTCAGGAGTGTGGCATAATTTTGTTCTTGGTGTTGTGAGTTTCATGGTTTTATTTCTGCTGCCAGCCTTTCTTTTTCCTTTCTATTACACGGGTGTTGGGGCACTTGTCACTGAAGTAACAGAGGTAAGAAAAGTTCTTTACTGGTTTCATATTATATGGTTTGTGATCTGATGTGTACCTGCATCCCTTATTATTACAGTTAAATATGACCAACGCAGTGCTCTTCAGAATCTGTTATATACTTTTTGTCTGCTTGAAGTTTATTTCTTCATCTCATTTTTTATGTATTAGTAAATGAACAAAGATGGCATGAATAACTAGACTACTAAGCATACTCCAAGACTGTTTAAATGTTTGAGATGAGTTTGCAGGCTTATTTCTGTGTGGTTTTTTGTTTTTTTCTTAGTAGTGTTATCAGGTTAATCTACTCAGATATCTATTATTACTCTCCTTATTGCTGTCTGTTTTTAATGATGGACATTAGTTTGATTTTCATGCTTTCTTGGTCAGCTGGAAGCAAAGTAGAGTTAGACTGCTGATTTTCTGGAAACAAATTATTTTTTTCTGACTTAATCAAATACAGCATGGTTGAAGAAAAGCAGAACTGAAAGAATTCAGTCTTTCTTGGATCTAAAAATGAGCAGATATAACTCACGAGGAGAATGATGTTTATTGTGCTTTATACTTCTAACAGTATAAAAATAACTTGCATTGCTGGGCTATTTAGGGTATTAACTGAAGCTTCTTCAACTTAAAATGACAGGAAAAACACAGCATATTAAGTTGGATGAAAATAATTGCTCAGATTTTAAGAAGTCCCTTAAAACACTTGGAGACTTGCCTGTTTTCTTTATGCACTCAATAATGTTTTCTTTGTGGAATATATTATTTTTTTATTGCTCTATTATCAGTGAAAATAATGAGTTCCGGTGACACCTCAGATTTTCTGTTAGTCTGAAAGTGACATCGTTACCTCAGTGTTTAATGGATATTCAGCATCCATTCAACCGTAAATGGATCCTAGTTGTTTTAACTATAACAACAAGACTGACTTCAGTGTTTCTTCTCAGGATTCTCCTGCCAATGGACCAAGAGGTCTTTTTGTGGGAGATATTGTCACTAGTCTACAAGACTGCCCAATTTATGGTGTAGAAGACTGGAATTCCTGTCTGGGAGACTTTTCTCAGAAATCACAGATTGGCTACTGTATAAATGCAGCCACTCTACAACAACTAAGCTTTCCAGCTAGAGGTATGGTTTTAGATACTCTCTTCAATATTTTATATTGTAGTTTTATCATGTCTTAAAAACTATTTTGTATTTAGGATTTCTTAGTGGAGACAGATGTCTCATAAGTTGAGTCTGATCTCATGTCTTAAGCAGACAATATGACTTTTCTTTTTGCGAAATACAAAAGCAGGGAGGGGATAGATAAAATAATTTCTCTTGTCTTTCAGCCACTCTGTACAAATGTCCTGTATGATCTTAATAATGAGAGTTACCTTTTCAGGATATTATATGACTTGGTTATTAGCAATTTACAATTATCTCCTCTATTTTGGTTCAGATATATGGATAAACTCGGTGGTTTTTTTGCAGCTGTAAATTCTATACATCACGTTATTGCTCTGATCAGCGTGACATTACAAATTGTGTGGCTTAACCCAATGATATGCTTTATTATGGCCATTTCGTTTGATGTTTCTCACTAGAGAGGTTTTATGTTTCATTTGCTTCTCCAGCCTCACAGTTTCTTTTCCCATAAACTCATATTTGTCTGGACTGCATATATTGTTTTTAGAAGTCAGTCTCTTTTCTTCTGTTTTCATTTATACATTAAAGTTCTTGTTACTGCAACAACTTAGCCCAACAAAGAAGAAAAATGTGAACTAAACTAAGTTAGAACAATAAACAAAAATTAAGTAGAACAAAAATGAGCAGTCAAGCTAAATTGGCTAAATATCTCAAGACATGCCCTACAGTTCTCCACTGTTTGATTTATGGATGCAACCATGGAGACTGAATTCTGAAGGTAAGGGGATGCAGCTGGGCAAAAACTGTATGATGATACTCAGAGCTAGAAAATTGTCGCTGCCTTTTTTTCATCATAATGGGAGTAAAGAGGAAGTTGGACAACTCAAGTATCCATGCTTTTTGATGCAGTATAATTCTGATGTGAGATAGAAAAAGTAGGATTTTGAATTTTTTAACACGTAAGGAAAGTAATCTTACAGATGAAACTAAGATAAATATTTAAAGTGGAAACTAGTGGAGTACGGGTAAGATCATGCTTTTTGATATGTAACAGTTTGGATCATCCCTCTGAAAGCAAGGATATTTCTGGAAAGTGTTTTCAGCTGGGCTGGGATGGCAAGTAAGAACCTATCCTCAGATGCCATAGCTATATATTCTGAGATTCTACTGTTCTCTGAAATTTAATTTCAGAGTCATGGATAATAAAACTGAGTATTTTGCACTGGAATCGGTGCTATTTAGATTGAAATAGTAAGGACTTAATACTAGAGACTTAACATTGCATCCAGACTTGGTTGCTGTATTGTGTTAGCAGTTCGACCCACTGCTGCATTCTAATCAGACCAGTCTGTCTGCATTTTCAGAGCCATAAGCCTCCAGCAGTGAGAAATATTCCTCTGAAATTAAATGAACTCCTTTCATTCTCTAGCAGCTGTCATTTGTCAAAACCTTGACAGTTCACAGCTAACATAAATACAGAGTATCAATAAAAATGTATATAGCAAATGGACCCTATCTATTTGACAATAAAACAAATGAAGAATAAACTATTTGAGTATGAAGCTACACAAAAGAACACTACCTGAGGGACATTATTGAAATTTAAAAAAAAAAAGCTGTGTTTTCAATTTAGTTTATATGGGAACTAATTTCATGGTCATTCACTATTCAAAAATATCTCTGATTGCTTCAGGGTACTTGAAAGAAAGAATTGTATGGTACAGTGCTCACACCTGTAAGCCCCAGGCATAAAGTTCCATGTTAATAGGCTGCTATTTATGCAGCATTAAATCAGCAACCAACATCACAGGCATGATCTACCTAAGGAAAGAACTGCAGTGTTGCTGTGACACAGGTTCTTACAGTGACTATTCTTTTCAATTTCTTTTTTTTTTTTAATTGTTAGACTGAATTACGATTTAAATGGCTTAGAATGGAATAGAAAGATCCTGTACCATGTTTTAAAGCCTCATTTTTTCACTGCTGCAGTTTTCAGGGCTCAGAATGCTTTCAGAAACTGAATCTTGTAAAGGCTTTTACATTTAAAATAAGACACTTTGAGTCTTGGCTATTTCAGTAGTCTGCCAGTGAAATAATTACAACAGCCGACATAAATTTCTATGCCAGCCCTTAACACAAGTTGGAGACAATGGCAAAAAGAATTTTTTTATTTCACAGAGCTCAGAACATTGAAGTAATAGATCCCCTAGATCTACTACTAGATCTCAAGAAGATTATTAAGATGAAAAATTCAGCACGTGGAATGATTGAAATCAGATGATATTCTTAAGGTGATAAAGCTTATTTTTAGTTGCAATGAACCATGGCGAGGCTCTGTGATTTACTTTAATTCTTGAAGTCTACAAAATGGTTATTTCATTCAGAGACCTTGATTTCTTTTTTGGAATATTCTATATTATAATACTGATCTTTTTCTCTGACACCTCTGTTCTTTAGTCTATAGAAGACTTGATGGCACAGTTGAATGTTGTAGTAACAGTAGCCTCACAGACATTTGCTTTTCGTACAACAATAACTTGGACAGCCATCGGGTAAGTTACTTGAAGTGCTTATTCTGCTAGGGAAATTTGAAATTGTTTAAATGAAGTTAGAAATATTCACTAACTTCTATGTAGCATGCTCAAGTGCTTAAGAATACTTCTAGTTTGTATTAAAGCTATATGCGTACATAACTTTCCTCCTGTATGTCTTACGAGTCAAAATACTGTAATTTTTCCCATGATTAGTCAAGCAGTGTCTGGAAGAAGCAAAAAAGATCTTTTAATCCTCATTCATTTAGGCAGAAAAACACTTCCCCTATCTTCACCATTTGATGCAGAATATTGGTGAGAAAAACAACTTTCGAGAAGAGGGTTACATTTTATATTTTGGAGCTTCAGTCTTTAAAGGTAGTGAACACTACAGGCAAACCAAAGCACCAGACTATCTGTTCTGTTATTTTCTGTGAAGTTGGCAGTGCTGTTCACCAGTTAAAACTAAAACTATGCAAGTCAAGATCCTGGAGAATATTTTTTTTTCATCATTGAGGCCTCCATTTGATTCCTTTTTTATCACACTGATTTTCTTTAGCTTATGGAAGGGAAACATCATAAGTTTCCCAGTAGGATTTTGCCTTAGTGTCTTCAAAGCATAGAAGTGTTTCTTAAAATGCATGATCCATATTGACAGTGAAGGAATATTTTTAACAGTTCTGTTTACAATAAGGGAGAGCACAATTTGCAACTGTGTAAACTTTTCTGCAGGTGCCAATTTGTTATTGTTGTGACCTGTAGGGATAAATACATCTGCTATATTTACAGATTCTCTGATTGTAAACTTCCCACTCCAGTGTCCTTTTCTTGTATTTAAGCTCTAAAAGTTGAGCATGGACCAGCAGTTTGCTTGAAATGTGGTAGTGGCTGGTAACATCCTGGAGTTCAGTAGTGTTTGAAAATCATTTTTCTACTGAGCTTTGACACTCTTAATCTCATATCTGGTACTTAGGAACAGCGATGAAATAAAAGCATCCAGAATCCTGTGATTTACAAATGTTCTGATTGACTGTGAGTTTTTATAAAAATAACTTTAAATAGTATTTTCAGTGCTACAGAGCAGTGTTTGAAAATGTTCTCCTTCCTCCTAATTAGAAAAGAAAGAGCTTATATTGAGGTTAATGCAGAGTGTCTGACATACATGCATGTACAAAGCATTGTAACTGTCAGGCTAAGAAGCAAGAAAATCCTCTTTTTTCTTTCCCAAGGCGAACAATAGATGAAGAACTTAACTTGCTTGTGTTTAAGAACAAAAGGAAAATTACCACAGAGCTTTTAGGAGAGACTTGGGGAAAAACAATTTCCTGTTCCTTTCTACTGTTCTCTGTTTGGCCAGTGGGGTGCAAGAAGTCTTTCAGCCTGTGGAGTGTATGAGTATTACATAGGTAGAACCAGAGACATAGCATTGCAGCAGGTGCTGTGTTCATCCAGTAAAAAAGGTCACTTAGCAACAACATGCCTTGGGCAAGGTGGTATGCTGCTTTCCTGAACGTAAGATTTTGTTCAGCCAAATAAGCTTTTAGATCAGTGAAGGCTGAAACCTCTTAAATAGGTAAGTCAGTAGTACGTTGATGCAGGCTTTGTTCATTAGAAATCCCTGACTTATGTTCAGATGCCTTGATTTTTGTTGTGCATGTCAGCTTTTATTTGGATGCATGTAGATCCTCTCCACCAGAAGTGGAATGACAGACTGAATATGTAACAGGTAGATGTTCTGCAGGATCTGGAAAACAATAATCCATCAGATTCTAGCTCTTTTTGAGCTGGTAACATATCAATGAGACCTTTGCGTTGAATGAAGAAGGAATATATATGTTACTTTTTTTTTTTTTTTTTTCCTGTTCTGTTGGAAAATACCTAAAGTTGTTATATCTGCCCTTTGCAGTACGCCTGTCTGCCAGCACGAAAAGTTATCGAGGCCAGCAGAGTTTGTCGAACCAATGCAGACTGTCAGAAGGACTTTGTTTCAAGCTTTTGTGTGACTCCTTCTTTAGAGAATCAAACAAGACTAATCAGGGTAAAACATCCACCCCATATGGACATGCTGTTTGTAGGACACCCCATGCACCTTCAGTACACAGGTTTGTATAACTTACTAGAGCAATCTAACAAGAAAGAGTTCTTATATGGTTTACTTTTCCTGGCTGCTTGAACAAGGTCTTAGAGCACTTGTCAGTCAACTTGTTTAATGCAGAATCCATTTCTTGTTACAGCCAGTGGAGAGACATGGACTTCTCAGGCCTAAAATGAAATGTGCACAGTGCAATGAGTTACAAAGGTAATAGAAAACGTCTGTGATATGAGATAGCTGTTTATTCAGAAAAGTATGCAAGAGCTATTACTGTCGAAGATCTCAGTGAGTTTAGTCATGGGAACCAGGCATCTGCATTTTGCTAACACATACAATTCTCAAGATGAAGTATTGTGAAATCTCCAGGGCATCTTGCTCCAACACCTTGCTTGGAACGTTAGCATGATTGCCTAAATCACACCCAGTATCCAAGTATCTGTGTCAGATTCCCATGACTACTAAGCCACAAGTTCAATCAAAACATGGCTTTTTCCTGTTTTTTTTCCTTTTTTTTTTTTTTTTTTAAGTGCCCTAAATTAAACAGCTAGAGCAGTTTTTTATTTTGAAATGTATTGTGGCTCTCCCTTAGACAAGCATGTATCCTGCCAGGTATAGAAAGAAAGTGGTTCTGCCACTGGAGCAAGAATGGGAAGAATAAACAGACTGATAAACAGACTGATAAACACGCTCACTTAGTAGCTTGAGTGGCAGTTTGAATATAAGCTTCATATACTTAAATACTTTAAAAAGTATTAAGTATTTAAAGTACTGTTCTTTCATTTAAAGACCTTGTCTGTTCCTCACAAACAGGCTCACAGGGAGAGGTTTTGCTTCAGGCATCTTGAAGTACCTCCTTAGAGAGAGAGGCATCATGCTTTTCTGAATAAGCATTAGAATGTGATACAAAAGAGCTTTAGAAACAGTGATGAAATCTGGTTGTGTAAACATATTAGCGTTCTTGCATAAACATATCTTTAGTTAATCTGCTAGTTTTTATCTTTCTGTGCTGGTATTATTTTGATACTCTTTGAAAAATTAATTGACTTCTATTTGTATGCACTATACCCTCATCTAAGTACAAAATGTGATCTCTTGACTTGTTATTTCTGCCCTCTTGTCACTTAGGAAGAAAAGCGTTGTTCAGCTGTGTGACACCAACACACAGTTCTGTATTTGATTACGTTTATTCCATATGCAATCATAACTTGCAAGAATAGTGTTTGATAATTAAGTTCCCTTTCTCAACTCTGGCTTAACAATACGTACTCTAACAATTGATATTGTTCTCTTCCAACATGTTGGAGCAATAAAATTTTAGTCAGTGTTTCCTACTAAGTGATAGTTCTGCTAAACAGTCAGATCTGTTAGTTTTTCAGAAAGGAGAACAGTGTTATTGAATTCATATAGAGAGGCAGTTCTACTTTAAGAAGTTACAGTGTATTTAACAGAAATAGAATTTTACAATTATTTTCTATACTCTTGGAATTGCATATCAAATGTGTTAATTTGAAAGCTAAACAGTGACTTTAATACAAACTTGCAAAAACATCAGAGCTAAAAGATCCTGGTCTGGGCTGGATATCAGATCGTCTACTGTACCATCACAGATTTACATACATTCCAATGAAACAACATCTAAATATTTCAGGCTTACTTTGCACAGTATTGGATTAGGGCCTGCAATTTTTTGTTTTCTTTTTCTTTGATTTTCTAGAGTTGATGATTGCAATATGGTATGTTCATTTGATTTTGGATTTTGTTTTTGTTTTATGGTTACGGAGGACAAATAATTTCTTTCTTTACTGTGTCAATTTTGAAACAGAAAGAAATTTTAATCATATTCTTTATTTTTTAGTATAATCTTTTTGCTTGCCAGAAACACTACCTTTTAGAATAATGCTACATTTAACATACGACCAAATATCAGAGTAGCAGAAACGCGTACTTTACTTTTACTTCTTCTAGTAATGCCACTAAAGTCATGTTTGAAAAATATTAAGATAGTGTGTGCATTGTTTTTTGTTTAGGCTTGCATTGCTGTCATGATAGTCCTGATTTATTGAGAAGCTGTAATTATCTCATACTTTCATTTGAAGCCAGCTTCAGGATCCAATATTTATAAAAATTTATATCCTTATTAACTACTTTCAAGAAATAGGCTATCCAGCTAAACCTTCCACTTTCTGCAAAGTAAAATATTGTTTTAAAAATATTTTTGTTAATGTGGATTAACATCTTTATTTAGCTCTTGTTTCTAATATGAAATAACTGTTAACAATCACTCCTAAACTAACTTGTACTGCAGGAGGTCTGGCTGAAACTGGGGGGAAAAAAAGGAATGATTAGTGTGGACGCGTTGATTAATCTTTTTAATTGGCATTCCTTCTGTAAAAAACATCTAATGTTATCTAATTTAAATTTATACTGTGGGTTTAACTTATGTGGTATAACTCAAGACTTTCAGTCTTCGCTTACTGCAGGCATATTATACTCTAGAGGTTCTTCTGTTGGACAGATGATGGTACGTAAGGTTGAAATGGAGATCCCCTGTCATTACTGCCATTCAGCTTTGCAATATTTCTTCTTTATTTTGAATGTGTGGGGTTCTTTTATTCCTTCATGTCATTTCTAGTATTGCAAAATCTTGGCTTCCTTCTCTGGCTCTTGTTGTGTGGGCAAAATCTGGAGGCTAACATTCCTGTTTAGAATTCATACTGCTCGAGGGAATGTTACTGTATCTGCATTGCTCATCAGAAGAGGGATCAACAAACTGCAAAGTTTCCTTCATGAAAAGAATATGGAACTAACCTTCAAGATAGCTTCTCCAAAATGGGACCGCTCACCTACTTCTGCTTCATCCAAGCCTTCCCAAAAAAGCAACTTTCTAGCTTTGGAGAGTTTTGGAGACAACAACTGCCATAATCTCTGTCTGGAAGAGTTTGATTTCACTTGTTTTAACACTTGTTTTCCCTTATCGTTAAGGATGATTCTTCATTGCTTTCTACCCTAATATGAAGGGCTACATGCATTGTTTTTGTGGACACCATCAACCATTGTTAATGCCTTCAATCACTGTCCCAACCCTTCTAATTAAAAGTATGTTCTCTGTACAGTCTTCTCAGTACTTTCAACACCATCTAGCATTAGCCAACAAAAGAAATTTTAATTCCAGGTCAAAGAGTTGTTCAATCCAAGTGGGGAAAGCAATGACTGTTCTTTCTCACCCGGCTTTGCTACTGTTTTCCTCTTTCCAGCAGTGCCTTTTGAAGACAAGCTTAGGAATTTCCATAGTTTCTATAACTTCTCTTGTTTCCCTTGAAGGAAAGACTTGTCTCTTACTGTTAGATTTGGTCTACTACATCCCTTACTTCATGTTACAGTTTCTAGAGCTCACTCCAGCAACTTACTGAAGAGTTTCTTACTACTTTGGAGAGAGAGCTTCCGCAGCAAAGTTTGGAGTTTTGATCCACGTAGTCTTAGAGACAACAAGCTGTTTGTTGTATCAGTTTGTTGAATCAGTGAACCTTTCTGAATTTAGGCACAGTTTCAGGTTCAAGATGATGACACCATTAGGTGTTTGTCAAGAGGCAGGCAGGTTTTGCAAATACAGTATATTGCAGTGTGTGTCTTTTGAAACCTTTGAATATATTGTGTTTTGGCTCATGAACTAGAAATCTGATCAGATGTTCTGATACCAACCTTCAGCTTAATGAACTGTTTGCCTTGGATATCACTCGACTTGGATGCCTCTGGTTTTCTGAGCTGGATGATATCCAGGATTTTTGTCTGTATGTTCTTCACTAAGTAGTCCAACAGACTTACCTGCTCTCAGATCCCCTAAATCAAAGGTCTTTCTTCAGCTAAGGTAAGACTGAACATGGTTTTCAAACCATCTTGGTCCAGATGAGACAGTTTTTGTTTTGGGAAGTTCTCTGATTGTTGCCACACCAAAACCACTCTGTTTTGGGGATCCCATGCTATTAAGGTCTCTCCATCTCACAGTGTGCTTCCTTGTTATACTCATTACCCCTTCTGGCTCATCAGATGGGTGCTATTAAGAGAAGAAAGCATGCTTATGTGACTGAGCAGACTAATTCTCTGCCTGATGTTTCTTTAGAACTATACTTTTCCCTTTGTTCTGGTCTCCTGGAATTATTCATTGAACCTGAAGAAATTTGATTTCTCTCTTAGTGAAGATACACTGAGCAGCAATAATGCTATATTATGTCCTAGCACTGTGATTTCCAGTGCTCTCTTAGTTCGTGGTTTTAAACTGTCTAAAAGGATGGGTTCAACTGTTCCTTTCCCAAGGGGTGCTTGTATTAGAGTAGGATTTGAATTTTTCTGCTCAGAACTCTCTCATTAATCTGTGCCTTGAGCACTTGCTTATCTCTGTGGAGACAGTATTTCTTATGGTGATAACTTTTGCCCACATTGGTAGGGAGAATTCAGGCCACTGGTTTGCCTCAACTCTGTGTGTGAAATTGTTATTTAGGGACAGAGTAACACTTGCATTTACAGTAGAAGCTCATTCTTAAGATGATTTTCTAATTCTATCTTAATTTATCTGAACTTTTTTGCTCTAGGGATAACTTCCCTGTGCTAGGAGTGGAGCTTTATGGTAGGAAAGGAGTCTCTCTTTCAGCTGTCAAAGAACTAAGGCTTTAATACAGTCCCTGAGGCTGACAGACACAGACAGCTGTTTAATTTGAAAGACTGTGTCAAGATTACTTTTGAGAAAACCCAAATGGACCATCCTTGTACAAGCCAGGTGCACTCTGGGGGACTTCAAGCTACCTCTGTTTTCTTTGAGGAGAAAGTCTTTCATGTACATTTGACTTGCCGTCAACTGAAAATTCATTTACACCTTTAAAGAAGTTACAGTACCAAAAGAGTTTTTCAAGGTCATGTGGATTTTGGCACTACAGTCTTCCATAATTTATATGAAGGATGCTGAGTATCACACCTGGGTTTTTATGTTGTACTCAGTTACATCTTGGAATCATTTTATAGTATCATTTGAAGACAGAAGAAGAAGCTGTTTATGCACTGGCTAACTGGTGTTAAGAAGTATAATGCACTGTGCATCATTTCCCAGCCTTTGCTTTCTCAGAATGACACTGGATTTGTGCTCCGTGTTTGTTCCCCTTCCATGCAATATGACCTGAGCTGCAGAACATGAGAATCTTCTGAAAGAAAAATATTTGGGGGGCCTTGAAAGAAAGTGCACATGTGCACACAACAGTATGAATGTGTGTACATGGACTGCATATGTTAAAAATTCCTGGTAACTTTAATCTCCTTTTACATGTTCTGTTGTTGTTTTTGAAAAGGGCTTAAATTACACCATATGGTCTTTATGAGTACAGATGTCCTCTTGTCTTGAAAATACATGTCTTAGATCTACTTTTACTATAATAATGCTGAATGTGTTTTTTGGAGTGACTTTACAATGTTAGTATGTTTTAGAGAGAATTAATGGCTGCACTGTGTCTTCTAAAACCAAAATAAAACAAGCAAAACCATATTTAGATTGGTTCTTTATCCTGGAAGAAATGTCATTTCAAATTAATTGTTCAGCAAGATTATAATCTAGAATTCACAATGTTGAATTTCTGAAATGGCTTTGATTATTTTTTTTTTTTGTCTATCTTTATATTTTCATTTCAGTAAGTCTCAGCAGTTTTGTACCACGACATAACTTTCTAAGCATCGATCTGCCAGTGGTGATAGAGACATTTTGCAAGTATCCTTTGAAGTATGTTTGTTCTTTAAAGACAAGAAAGAAACTGTTTAGAATTTGGTGACCCTGCAAAATTTCAGTTGGATATCATTTTAGACAGGATGCTCTGAAATATTTCTGTTGAGTTTTGACATATTTATCCCATCTCTGCATTGATTATTGTCTACGTGCCAAGCCCCAAATGCAATCTCCCACTTCCTTGTGCTTAGCAGGATATTTTTGGTCAGCTTTTTTTTTTTTTTTTTTTTTTTTTCTTTACTATTCCTTGACAGTGATTTTTAGCAGTTCTGACAAGAAAGTCAAAGTAATCCTGAATTTATGGCAGGACAAATGTTATTGCTAGCTTTGCTATGTCAGAGCTTTATTAAAACCTTTCGTGAGCCATCATGGTGAACTAAGTAATAGAGTATAGTTGTTCATTTTCACTCTTGATGGTGCTGTTTTTTTTATCTTCAGTAGAAAACTTGTTCTGTTTAAAAAGCAGAGTGATAGTGCATTTAAACATGTTTATTAATGAATGAGATTGTATATATGCAGAAATAAAGGCTAATTGGCTTGAATATGACTAATCTAAGAATGCTTAGCCTTAGCAAGGCTTTACCAACCATAGAAATTATCTACCCTTACTCATTCTCACATGCACTTGCATGCACAGAAATTCACTTAACTTTTCTGGCTAACAGTTAAGTAGGAGGGAGGCCAGATTTTCAATCATATTTTAGCCATTTACTTACTCCAATAAGGGAGTGCTTTGGAAAATATTCCTAATCGTTATTTCATACTTAGATCATAGCTCTATTATACCTTCTTACCTCAGGCATAATGTCAGATCTATAACCTTGCTCCAAAACCACACAAGGCAAGGGAGGAAGATGAGCAGTATCAAGCATGGTTTTGCTGTCTCCTGCTCCTGTCTGAGTTGTGAAAAGCACAGATTGTTAAAGCATCCGAAGCTAATGCTTGTTTTTCACTTAAAAACATGAACTGATAAGGGCAGTATTTTGAGCCATCATGGTTTGGTGTAAAACTCATTGTCCTTTTATAATTTCCATGAGATAGAATGGCAACTTAATGTTTCTCCTTGCACACCAGAAAAAAAAAAATGTGTTTTTTGTTGATTTTGGTTTTACATTTTCTTGGATTTTATTAATGAACCTTAACTAATGTCAATCAGATATATAATTTCACTGTCAGGAGCACTGGCAGTTATCAATGCTGTACCCTGCTTCGCTTTGGATGGTCAGTGGATATTAAATTCTTTCCTGGAAGCCACTCTGAGCTCCTTGATTCTAGAAAAACAAAACAGAGAGCTTGTTGGCTTTTTAATTTTGCTTGCTGGGAGTACGCTTTTGGCTGCCAATGTTGCACTGGGACTTTGGATGGTTACAGCACGATAGGACACAGGATATTCATCAATTCTTGTATTACATGGACATAATGTATCCAAAGCCTTTTAAAACTTGTTCGGTACTCAGACTGAAATAATTCCCTTAAAATGACACTGAAAGAATAATCACTAGAGGCTCCTGATGTAACTTAAATCTGTGCAGTGTTGTGTCTGTGGTCTTGGGAAGAATAAGAGAAAGAAGGAACAAGTTTTAATGTACTACTTAAGCCCTGTATTAATTTTAGAGAAGTTCCACTGTAAAGTTTCACTGGAAAGAACCTGATTTATTATCTTAAATCTCAGAATAAGGGAATTATTTGGCCTCAGACATTTGTAAAGTGGAAAGAGAAAACACTTAAATCTTATTTTATAATTTGAATAATGTAAAAAAAAAAAAGTGTGGGCTCTGATCATTTCTCAGTCAGTGTTATCTTGAGTGCCTGCTTTGCTTTTTAATCTGGTGTTCTACCAAATGGGACTCTTAGACACCCTGAAGTCTTCATCTCAAAATGGTGTAAAACTAAGTAAATGGTTACCATGTATTAATGAGAGAGAGGCCATATGGGTTTGTATCTTTCCTTTACAGCTGGCCAAAATGACTGGAAGCATATTGTCCTCAGGATGTAGATGGGAAGTGCCAGTGTCTGTTGAGAATGAGGTATGTGGGAGGATAACAAAGCCCACATGTCTGTGTTACTTATGCATTTGGTTGCATATTACTCTGCACAGCTGAAGATTTTGTAAAGGCAATATTTGTCAATAATAGCTAGACAATAACTGAAATTTAGTTTTTCAGTACTATAGAATGCTGTGCAAAATTATTGCTAAGTGATAATATTTGTGTCCTTTTACTCAGAAAATAATACTGCATACAGTTAAAAGTGAAATCTGTTGTTTTTATAGTGTCCGTCTTCTGATGCTGTGCATGCTGTACACCTGGTAACTCACTGACATTTCCCTGTCTTTCAACGGGTTGCTTTTCTGTGCTGTAATTGAAGTGTTGTTGAAGCTGCTTTGGGATCAGGATTGTTTAGAGGAAGAACATGATTCTGAACCTAAGTATTCTAACACTGGGTTTTGCTTTCTGAAGTTAATATGGACCATATATTTGTTTTTAAATGAGCAATGGAAGAGCAAACTGTTTTGCTGATTCAAGTATGTCTGACATATTCTGAAGCCCTTTAAGTCTGTAATGTTTGATACCTCAGTAGAATCGTACACTGACCATTGTGTCCTCCTATTTTGTATAAATCAGATTTATTGAGACGCTTGTCTCAATACAGGCTGATATTTCAAATAATGTTGCTCTTCTTTGGAGGCCTACATATTTGAAATATGGAAGTTCTGGAAAATTATCTGCAGCTTCTATCTCATATAGTGCTCCCAATAGGAGCTTCTGCAGCTCGGAGATCCTTTAATGAGATGACCTTTCCATTCATGAACTTAAGTGGAAGATAAGCTAATGGGTAATGGCCTGCAGGGAGTTGTGAAGCATTCATCATCAGCTAACACAGATTATCTTGGTGCTAGAGCTATAAGGGTAATAACAGCAGGGTTGAGCCCTATTCCTGGTGCTGCTGCATGGATACATAACTCTGATATTAACATTTGCTTACTGATGTGTTACAGTATTTTTGCAAAGTAGCCTTTGCATAAGCTGGGCCTCCTGCGTTCACCTCTGTGGGATGGCAGGCCCATGCCTCTGATTTTCAGTTGTTTCAGCCTAGGCATCTGAATAAATCCTTCAGCCAATTCAGCATGAGTTGGTCCTCCTGGGGACTTCAGAAGTCATCAAGTGCAGGAAAGGAAAACAGAACTATTACAAACTGCCAACTGGTTTCTTAGGAGCCACCAGGAAAAGCCTAGTTCATTGTCACTTTCAGTAACTTGCAGAAGATTCAAAGTAGCAGTTTCTGATGTGCCTTTCTTCCATCTCTCCATGAGCAGCAGTGATATGAGCAGCCAGGTTCTTACAGAGGCTGGAGATTAAGTGATGCTCTAGAAGGCTGTTCATTCACCTAAGTAGCTGCTTACTAATCTGAGCTCTTCTTTTCAAGCACCATGCCAGTTTCCACTGTCTCTGTTTCTTGTCCAATCGATAGTGCACAAAATGAATTTGCACTCTAGTGCAATTTAATAAGACCAAATATTAGCTTTTCAAAAAAGATACTGTTTATCAGTTTATCAGAACTGTAGTGCTATCTTAATTTCTACGGGAATAACAAATGCATCTGTAGTGATTTCAAAAATATCCAGTGAAAAACATTTCAAGTTTGATAATTTATATATTCACGCTGACTCCAGCTGCTTGGGGTGATCCGTTTTGCATAGTAACTCCTCCTGGAGATCAAAGAGAAGTTGTTTTTAAAAATACATACATTGCATCTACTATATGGATGCCAGCAGATTGTTCCTGTTTATCTTATGTGCTACAAAACATGATTTAACAAACAAAAAATTCTATTGATTTCACTTTATGTGATCTCTGAAAATCAAACTTAAACTAAGTAGAATTTCAATCTATGTTTTACCTCATAATCAAAATGAGGGTAGAGAAGACTTGTTGATCATGGCTTTACCAAAAGAGACAAGCTAGTACACTGTTAAGGCCATTTCTGTGGTAGAGGTAAGTGATGTAAGGGTTTTAAAATAATTTATGGGTCCATTTCTCTGTTCTACTGCATAGGGTTTGATTTAGGGAGGTGTAGGCACTTTGAATCAAGAGTTTAAGCAAACTGAGATCACTTTGATGACCCAGCACATACCTTAGATTAACTGTGGAAAAAGGTAATAGCTAAGGTGGACCATTCTCTGAAGAAAAAGTTGTTTAGTGGATCCATTTTATTATCCTATAATCCTAATGTATGGATCGCATTCTCTAAAGCAAGTGCCATTTTTTATTTACATACAGTTATTGGGATGGTTGGTTTTGTTTTATTTTGTTGTTACTGTTTTGTTTGTTTAGCAAGGGAGAACACAGAAGGGCACATCGTGTCTTACATGATGCCTTTTTATTCTGGGTTATTTGCAATGTTTCTTCTATTTATATTTTTGTAAAGACTAAAAGGCAATTTTTCTTTAAAATGAAATTTTTTTCACTTCTCATAATTAGCCTCCCAGAATAGAGCTTATTCTTTAATAAAGGATATATCAATATCGTTATAGGGGTTATTTTCTCAAGTGTAAAACAGAACACTGTTAATGATTGGATGAATAGTGCTATTTATATATGTACAATTTTTTTAAAATCTGTATCAGATGGAAAAAGTAATGTCAACATTGGGAAGTGTTGTACATAGTTTTTACTTGAAAATTGTCAGAATTCTATAATTGTAATCAATTATTGTTCTGATTTCTTTTTTTTTAAGGAGACTTTTTTTTTTTAATATCAGCAAGGACTTCCATAGCATGGTCTCATAATGCATGGTGTGACAATGATAACGGGTAACTTCTTAGAACATAGGATGTTACATGCTCATTGTTAGCTTTGTAATTAAAACCAGCTTGCTTCCTTGTAAGTTAAATCAAAAAAACTTTGCTAGGGAAATTGCAGACAAACCTGCAGATTATTCAGTCCAAAGTTATGAGCTGGAGTGGAAACTGTGTTAACTCACTCTTTTATTACAATGAAACAACCAACTGTATCGACAACTACATTTCTTAGTGGTCATTCTGATTTTTTGTCTGTGAGTATATACAGAAATACATATAGTAGATACATATAGAGCCACAGTCTGTATGGCTGCTTTTCTAGAGATAACAGAGCTATCTTCCGTATTCTGTAATGCAGGTATTTTTCTTTCTCTCTATGAATTCCCTGATTTTTTCTGGATTTTAAAACTGGAGCTGTGCTCTCCTCCTGTAACTGATCTGTAGGGATTTCTTACTGAAAGACATGTGATGGACATAATGTCACCACAGCTGCTTAAGTTTGATTTTGCTGATGTTCAAAACACATTTCCTGCTTTCTGAGAAGCCTCAGCTATAGGCACAGTAAACAGAGGTTTCCAGGGTGGTTAAAAGAGGTCAACTTTAGAATCTATCACTATCTCACTACTACTGTTCGTGCTATTCGGAACGATAACTGGTGTGAATGAGGCTGTGCAGAATATACAGAAGAAATGTTAGAAGGGCAGACCTTCCCATGGCATCAGACCGTCCCAGGTTTCTTGATTACCTTGCTAAAGGATGGATTTTTGTTCAGTTCAGTTCAGTCCCAGTTGGCCGTTTCCTGCATGTTTTACAAAATGATGCCATATAGCAAGTAGTTTTTTCTAGATGGTGTTTTGTTCTTCTTTTTTTTTTTTTTTAATGATTTCTCTTTTATCTGAAAGATGTGAATTTGTATCTGGATATCGTTTGTGACAGATGAAGAAGAGCTATAAAGGTTTATATAGCCTAAGCTGCATTTGTTTTAAAAAGTTGTGATTCTAACTCTAGAAATGCATTTTTATTTGGAAAATAAGCATTCCATACAGTTGCATTCACATTAATTCCCACAGGTAGTTCTGTCTCACTTTGTGAGTAAGGAAGCTAAATCTAACTCAGGTAAGATTTGTTATTTTATACCCTTTTATCCTGAAATGTGTGTAACAGTACATCCAGATTTGTTACCTACTGTGGCTGAGTTACCTGTGGTACATATGCTGTATTAGTGAAGCATCTGGAAAGCGTTGTAGGGTCTGCCACCCAGTGTGAAAGGATAGGAACAAAAAGCAAGATAAAACACTGCAGTTCTGTTCATTGCATTTGCATTGGCATGAAATGTGAAAAACAAACAAACAAACAAACAAACAAAAACACCTTGTAATTAACATTTCAGAGCATGCAGATACATCTACTAGCCCTTTGTTAAATCATTCAATGAGCGGTGCTCCAACTTCCTTCTTTTTTTTATACTTTGTTGGTCCATTGATAAGTGTGCACTGAATGAGTGGATGGGGTATTTGCAGCTTACTCAGTAAAAATGGTCTTGGATATTTCTCACCTATAGATGTTCATCTAGGGTTTGTTTTGCAGCATCATGCTGCAATTAACCTTCACCGACCACTAGTTCCAAAGTTCAAAGGCTATTTCCAAGTCATCACAAGAGAAATGTAGTTTCTTCCTTTTCAAGTTGTGTGTTAATGTTTTTAATTCCTCTTTTCCATACAAAACTTTGGTTTTAGATTTCATATGCTCTTATCTGAAGTCTGTCAATGGAATAGGTATTGTTTTGAAACCCACAATGTTTTTTCCTCTGCATAGCCTTATTTCTCATGCTGACTCACAGCTGTGGAATGTTAGATTTCTAGACTCTTTGTTCCCACTATGCATTGTTCATGATCACTTTTAAAAAGAAAAAAAAAAAAGCTTCATTCTGAAAATGTCAGTTAACAAATAGTATGTACAACTTTGAATAATGTATTGTGTTTTTTGTTGTGTTTTTTTCTCTGTTTAATCAACCAAACAATAAGTATTGTTTTCTGTGTGTGATAAATGTATCCTGCAAAGAAATTCATTGTTTGACTGTGAATGTGCTTAAATCTGTTTTTTAAAAATAAGGTAAAATGACATAATTCTTTATTTATGGCAGTTATTATGTTCTCTCTCCTACATTCTCATGCTCCTCTCATACGTAATCTATATTCCCTATCTGGGTACCAGAAAGCTTCCCACTACTCTTCTTAGTACTTGACCACATTTTAAAATTAATAATACTGCCAATTTGCTTTTTCTTACTTACAAGTTTATCACAGTCATAGTTAGGTTTATAATAGAAGTGCATCCAGAGGGACATCTGCACACTGTTCCTGAGCAGAACTAACTTTACTGTAACGTGCCCAAGGTACACAATGCCCACCTTCTAGGAGCACAACCCTCAGTCTTGGCTACCTCCTATGTAATTCTTCTCTTCTTGCATTGCGGACTTCTACTGGCTTGTTTTACAGTGAAATATTTGACATGGGATGCCATCGTTGAGGTAAGTGGAACCCCTTCTCTGGGTGTTAAAGCCAGTCTTATGCAAGGAATTTAAATCTCAGCTCTTTGAATGACATTAGGATGATGCTGTGTGTCACAACCTTTGATTTGTATGTACAAACCAGTGCAGAACAGGGCATATATCCATATATAGCCAGTTCTCACCAAGTTCCCCTAGGTATCCGGATGTAGTCTGGGGCTGTGCTAGCATGGCGTCTCCGGAGTGTTCAGCCTTATTTGGAGATGAAGCTTTATCATTCTTTGTCTTGAGCAAACTCATCTAGAGATAGATAGCCAGGTTATTTGTACTGACAAGTAAATTGTCCTTTGTTGCTTATTGGACAAGCTGTTACTTTATGCAAGCAAAGCTGTTTCAGCAAGCACAGCTTTGTTCCCAGATAACAGATTACTCTGAGAAATAGGCACAAAGCACGAATCACAGACCCATTGGGAGGATTTCCCAGACAGGTTTGTGTGCAATTTTCTCAATTCTTGCATGAGGAGATGTTTTTTTGTTTTTTTTTTCTTACTGATGTTTAAGTTTGGGGTCAACAGTTCATTATTTTTCTTCAGCATTCAAGCATCTATGGTCCTGTAATTTTTCAGTTGATTTTGAAAATGTTATCTGATTATGTTATTATGTGTGTTCTGTAGTCTTAATGAAGTCAGTGATTTATTCATGGCATCACAAGGAATGATGCCTTAATCACTAATATAATTTGAGGATAACATTTAGAAAGGGGTGCTCTATCAATGTGTCTCATTTCTAGCTTAATATAGTTCTTTTTAGCAAGCAGAAGCATTCCTAAACATGCTAAATGTGGGGGGTTGAAACTGGATGGTCTTTAAGATCCCTTCCATCCTATGACACCAAGTTGGCTGGAAGTGTGGATCTGCCTGGGGGTAGCGAGGCCCTACAGAGGGATCTTGACTGTCTGGATAGCTGGGCTGAAGCCAATGGGATGAGGTTCAACAAGGCCAAATGCCGGGTCCTGCACTTTGGCCACAACAACCCCAAGCAATGCTACAGGCTTGAGGCAGAATGGCTGGAAGACTGTGTAGAGGAAATGGACCTGGAGGTATTGATTGAGCCAGCAGTGTGCCCGGGTGGCCAAGAAGGCCAATGGCATCCTGGCTTGCATCAGAACAGTGTTGCCAGCAGGAACAGGGAAGTGACTGTTCCCCTGTACTCAGCTCTGGTGAGGCCACACCTCGAGTACTGCATCCAGTTTTGGGCCCCTCACTGCAAGAAAGACATTGAGGCCCTGAAGTGGGTTCGAAGAAGGGCAACAAAGCTGGTGAGGGGTCTGGAGCACAGGCCTTATGAGGAGCGGCTGAGGGAGCTGGGATTGTTCAGTCTGGAGAAGAGGAGGCTCAGGGGAGACATTATTGCTCTCTATAACTACCTGAAGGGAGGTTGTAGTGAGCTGGGGGTCGGCCTCTTCTCTTGTGTAACTGGTGATAGGACTAGAGGGAATGGCTTCAAGCTGCACCAGGGGAGATTCAGGCTGTATGTTAGGAAATACTACTTCTCTGAAAGAGTGGTCAGGCAATGGAATGGGCTGCCCAGGGAGGTGGTGAAGCCTCCGACCCTGGAGGTGTTCAAGGAACGTTTGGATGTTGTGTTGAGGGACATGGTTTAGTGAGAACTATTGGTGATAGGTGGATGGTTGGACTGGATGATCTTGTAGGTCTTTTCCAACCTTGGTGTTTCTGTGATTCTGTAAGCCATTCTACGAAATCTTATCTGAGATTTTCATGAGCACTTGAACTACCCAGTAAAATGCAATTTAAAATTTGATTATAATTTTATAGTGGTAAAGTGGAAGAAAATAATATTCATGAAGTATAAGCAGCAGAGCAACTCAGGTTTCTGCTAACTCTTATCTTTTCTCTCTTTCTCTCTCTTGCCTCAAACAGATGTGGGTCTGTTGCTTACTTTGATACTTAGTGGTGCAATGTGGTTGAAATTGTATTCAATGCTCTTACTAATTCTGCATCTCATTCTCTGTATCTCTAGTTATTTTTTGGCATCTACCTTTTTTTAGTCTCTTTCAAATGTAGCAGTGGCTCAATACTGTCTAACTGCCACTTCTGACAGTCTTGGAAACACATGGTTGCACATCTTGTTTCATTTCCCCCAAAAGGAACTCTTCTCTCTCTCTCTCTCTCTCTTTTTTTTTTTTTTTTTCCCCTCATTTATTATCCTTTTTACTTGTTATTGCACTGGGAAAGTACCTATATCTTTGTCCCTTCACAGCTCTATGAGGATCTCTATTAAAATATTACCTGAGATTTTTTAAAGTGTATATTCCTCTGAACCTTTTGCATTTGATGCAATTACCCACACAGACATCTAGTGTGATCTGAGATATCCTAAGGTGTTCTTAGGTTAGTAATTTGACTTGGAACAAGGTTCAAGTTTTGATACTCATCCCCTGCTTGTCTCCATTTGTCTTCTGTTGGTTTAGGTCTTAGGGCTTCTAAGACCTATGCATGGGGCTGGCAGATGGGGCCCTATAGGAGATCAAAGACACTGTGGACCAGCAGCTGGATACTAGGAGGGCTACCTGAGGGCATTTTGTATCATGCCAGATGCTTGCTTACATGTGGGCAAGAAAACAAGCTTGACTGATCATTTCCTTGGATTTCTTTCCTTCATTAATTAAATTGGAAAATGGGGCTGAGTGACTTTTATTTGGCATAAAAATATGCCCAAGGTTTTCTAATTTTGCACAGTACTGCTATTCATAGGAGTTATATATATATATTCATAGGGAAAAAAGACATATATTGTCCTGCTCTGGACCTTAACCCTGGAAGCAGCAAAAAATGAGTACAGCAAGAAAAAGGACACTTTATTTTATAAAGAAAATACTATATATCTCCAGCTGTGGAGTAGCAGACACGCACAGATCTACAGAGGGTGAAAGAGACCAGATGGAGACAAGGCTGCCCTGGGTGACTATCCAGGCCAACTGCTACAACACTGTGCGTGGCTTCTTCTCCCTTGAAGGATCAAAGAAGTGGAGATTCAGTTAGGAATGGGATAAAATCAGGAAAGGAGTGTTCCAGAGAGAAGTGGTTTGTTCATTTACAGTATTTTTACATCAGAAAAAGCATGCATATCTCACAAAGACAGCATGATATCAAGCATTTCCAGAGCCAACTTGCAGATAGCACTGATGGATTTCCATTGCTGGCAGCTACATGCCATGCACTAAGGCCAGAGAGATGATGAAAGCCTGTACTTCCCTGATGATTTAGGATATCTATCTAGCTCTGCAGGCCGATGCCCTGCTTGCTGTGTATGGATTGCACCTGGTCACTCTTTCAGTATCCTGACTGTGAGATCGGAACTCTTCTCCTGTTTTCTCATTCCTTCTCCTGCATGAGTTGATCTCACAGGTGCAATTACTAAGAAAAATTAATCCACTTTTACAGTGTTTAGCCCCTTGGCTTTATTTTCACTCCTGCAGCTATTTGAATAACTAGCATAAATGAGGCCGAACCACCTGTATCTCTATCATCGCTGCATGATCAGCAAAGTTAGATTATAAGCACACATTGCAAACCACACATTCCTCAGTACTTACCACTGTTTTTACCAACAAACTTCTTCTTTTTTTTTTTAAATAACTATTTACTGTTCTTCATTACTTATCTGGACATGAAAATACCAAAAGCAGTTCTGAAGAAAGCACAGAGTGAGTTAAAAAGGGGTTGCTTTTAGCATGTGTAAATGGACTGGATTAAAAAACAATCTATATCTTTTTAAAATGTGATATTAAGTGTGATACTAAGCATGATAAATTACTCTGCCTATATGTGATTCTTCTGGTTCCTCCCCTGTACTCTACCAATTCAAATGCAAAATTACAGCTTTTATAGCTGTAGCTGAAGATATTAGGGATGCAGCCAGACTGAGTCCAGATTTGGTGAACTGAGCTCATCATAGGAACAGGGAGAAAAAGCTTGATAGGGAACATAGCTGACTGAGAAGGGGATCAGGAAACCAAACAGTTGTACACTGTAGTGAAACAACAGAAAGAATCCAGGAAATGACTGGCCACGAGGATTTTTTTTTTTTTTAAAAAAAAAGGTAACTTTTATTATTAATTACAAATGCATGAGAAAGTAGCTTGAAAATATGCCTTCTTCTAGATCAAAAGGGTGCTTTGAAATGCAAAACAAATCTTTTTTCTTCTGCCACAGATTTGTGTGTACACACAGATGCTAATTTGATAAGCATTTGGTTAGCTTCTGCTAGCCTTAATTATTATCAGCTTAGATAAAAATGATTGCTAGTGGCCTGAGAAGGCTGTGAAATACATGGGCTGCAGGGAAGGATATGGAAGTGGTTTTGTCAGGTCCATAAATAAGGGCTTGCAGTGAAGAGAAGTGCTTGAGCAGCTATGTGGGAACTTATGATTTGAGGCCATCCAGCTGGGCAAGCCCTGTGCTACATGTTCCCTGTGAGACCATCAAACAGGAAGGGCTGAAATCTTAACAGTGAAACTTGCCAGGCCCTACAGTTGGGACTGTACTTGCCCTGAGGCTAATGGGTCTCCAGAACTCTTCAGCCCTGCCTCTACACGTGCTGGCCTGCTGCAAAGTCTGGGGATGAAGCAGGAAGCATGTCTTTAGTGTGAGGGTGATGGACAGCTTGTGGGTTCACCTTCTAGGAGATACCTGAAAGCCACATGGTCATGGTCCTGGGCACCTGCTCTGTGTGTTCCTGCCAGAGGAAACAGCCTATGGAGATCCCCTGCACACTGTGGTCCTAAAGGCTTGCTGAATCTCCTGTCCTAGAGGCACAACTAACCTGTTCAGTGCAAAAGCATCCCAGAAAATGCAGAGTGGTTACATCTGCTGTCTGCAGAGGTGGAAATGGGATACAGCAGGTGGACAACATTCTGGATACAATCCAAAGTCTACTCAGTGACCCACTGTTCAGAATGTTCATATAATGACATTGTCAAAACAATGGGTTAGGCTTAGCTATAATTCACAGGACAGAGCTGTCTTCAGGAATGTTGTAAATTCTGTGTTATTCTTGGTTGTTTACTTTTTAACCATGCTACCCACGACCATTACTGCTAATTACAGCAATTGAGTGGGATGCTTCCCCTACAGAAAGGTAGAGATGATGTGAGAATGAACTTGTTGGAGAGGAAGGATAAAGGGATACTTTCAGTTTTGAAAGTTTGGGGAAATGGTTACTATTATTTTAAAAAATAAAAGTGTTTTAATATTTGAATGGCCATTCTGCTTTTCTCCAATATTTGTGAAATACCTTTTCTCTATCTAAAAAACCGTAACTCCCTTACCAGCTTAGAAAGGGTGCAGTTTTGGACAAAGGAGTTTTGGGACTACCCCTCTCCTCTTTGGCTAGTCTAAATGCCTGACCTTGATGTACCAGTGAGAAGAAACTGTAGAAAGCTCAGTCCTGATAAAAGTTTGCTATTCTCCAGCTGAAAAGAAAGTCATCTGTCTTAAGAACAGCCTAAATAACCAGGCAGCAGACATATAAAACTAGAAATTTCTGCTGGCGCATCCCAAGTTTTGGAATATCATGCTGTGAAGTCTGACACTGCAATCAGACAGATACATCTGGCTCACAGGTCTGTATTAAACCAAACCTGTGTAATAAGCCCTTACTCTGATGCTCACATGAATATACAGCCAAATTATGCATGAGTAGTACGGTTGTTATCAAATTGAAAATAAAAAGGACTCCATCTATCCATGCTCACCGCAGACGCGATCCGGTTACACTGAGGTCAGTGGGAAAGATCCAGTTCCTACATGGAGAACAATATCAAGTTTTAAAGTGAAAACGGAATAAGATGACCTACAGACTGAAGAATGGGATCTGCCCCGGAAGAAAAA